GTATCATGCACATATTCATAATACTAAACCAAAGGAAATCTCCACAAGTTCAAGATGGAGGAAAACCACTGCAAGACAGCACTCTCTCTTCAATCCCTTGAAGACAAACCAAAAGGGTGACATGGCCAATGGAATAAAAAACCATCAAAAGGTGAAAGTCTCATGCTACAGTATGCTAGCATTCTATTGATTTCCATATGAAAAAAGGCATAATCTTTTATATTAGGTCTTTGTCATACCATGCATCTACATTTGCCTCCAGAACCAAATAACGGTTCTGCCTTAATGGCAGCATTTTATAGACAATTCTGGGTTAAATTATAAAGGAAGAGATTAAAATTGGTAAAAAGAAAAGAAATGGAGGAAAACATAAATAATTTACAATTAGCCATTCTACCCAAAGGCTTATAGAACCCTCTAGTGTTCACACAGTATATAAATAAAATACATCTAAGCTGACTTGCAATTTAATGATGAGGCAGAAGGACTTATGGTATAGCTGCATCTGTGGAATGCTAAAAATTCATGTAAAATAAAATAAAATTGGTTTGGAGAGATTTGCAGATAAAAATGTGTTATGAATTGATATATCAGTATTTCATATGCTTGTTTTCAGCTTTGCTTTAAATTTGTTGTTTTGGAATTTTTTTTAAAATGGAAACATCTCCCCAAATATTTGTTTTAATTTATAATTTGTATGATGGTCCATGTCTGATATTTGCCAATTTTTTTTCATTCTGATATGCACATTAAAATTAAGCATATTACACATAAAATCTCACTCATCTTTCTTTTGCAGTTTAGAATATTTCTTGATATGGTCATTTAAAGTCATCCAATGCAAAATACTTTTAAATATCACGTGAAGTGTTAATACCACTTTACAATGCCTTGGTAAGGCCACACTTGGAATACTGCATCCAGTTTTGGTCACCGCGATGTAAAAAAGATGTTGAGACTTTAGAAAGAGTGCAAAGAAGAGCAACAAAGATGATTAGGGGACTGGAGGCTAAAGCATATAAGGAACGGCTGCTGGAATTGGGTATGTCTAGTTTAATGAAGAGAAGGACGAGGGGGGACATGATAGCAGTGTTCCAATATCTCAGGGGTTGCCATAAAGAAGAGGGAGTCAAGCTATTTTCCAAAGCACCTGGAGGCAGGACAAGAAGCAACGNAAAAAAAATATCTTCCCCCAAACTACAGGAATGCATCCCAGTCCCATATGGAGAGCAAATGTTTCTTTAAAACTTCCTCCTTCCATTATATATTCAAGATGGACAGTATTTAATATTTATTTGCTACATATATGTAGGGGTGTGGGTCTATACATATGTTGTTCATAGTATGTTTAGGTGTGTCATGTATGTGTTTCACTTTGAGAGCGGGCAACTAAATTTCATTTTTCATGTGTGCCGTTGTGCCCACAATAAAAAAATGACAATAAAGGTTATCTTATCTTATCTTAAAGAAAAAATTTGGGAGTATATATTCACTTAATGAGAATAGGAATTTGTATACTGTATATTCACTTAATGACTAAAATACAACAAATTTCTGAGTTAGAAAGTAAAATAGATAAGAGAATCCTCAAAAAGTCACACATTTCCTAATGTACTTTATTAAAGAGTTTGAGGGTTTACAGTTTATTGGCAATAAATTATTCCATCAGCCTTACTAAATATAAAACAGAGAGAGACAGATACAGAAAATTGACATTACCTAATTTGTGATGCAGTTATTTCCAAGCAATGGTGCACATATTTTTGGAGTTTGGGGTATCAAAACTAACTGGGCAAGCTATTATATACGAAAAATATGGGCAGCAAATCTCACATTCATTTGGACCGATGATATTAGCTAGTTGGATAATGAAAAACCGCAAGCAATAACCATGCTCAGAAAGTACCAAGAACTCCACAATTCAACCAGGAGCTAGATACATTTCCTTCTATTGGAAGTACATATTTTTACTGTCACCATTATCCTAATAGCTTATTCAATTAGGACTTTATGCAGGCAAAGTATGTTGTCTATCATTGAACACTGAGCTGTTCCCAGGAAATAGAAGATTTCCATTTGATTGTGGCAGGTTAAAAAAAGGTAGAGTGGGAAGAAGGGTATGTGGCTGTTTAGATGCCAATATAACTATTACCTCTCCAGTATAGCTCTTAGAATCCTTTCTCCAATGTCTATGTTCTCCCACATCTAAAGAGGCAAGGTTCACCATTCCCAATATAAAAGAATTTTAAAATCTTCCTATGAAGACCCAATCAATCTAGAATAAGCAGTTCTAAGTAATGTCAATCAAATATGCTTCCTGTGTCATTAAAAAAGAGATTATTCACAGGTTAAAAATGCTACAGAAATCAGAAAGCAGTAAGGAAAACTATTGCTAGTTGTTCATCTTCTTAAAATGTAAACAAAAGAACGAAGTAGTACAATAGAGCTTTGTTTAATCATGTATCAATTACGAGACTAACACATAAAAATGCAAAGTAGGATTACGCTATATCATAGGCTCATCTTAATGACGCTAAGGGATAAGTGAGATGTTGAGTTCTCTTTCAGAATATGTTGAGATATTCTGTTAAAGTTATTAACAGTAACTTCTGACACTATAAAGTGCCCCCAACTGATTGTGTTCTACTCAAGCATAAAACAATTGTTCTATTTAAACAAAAGAGGACTGCACAAAGATTAATTCATAACATACAGCAAGAAATTCCTTTACTAAATAGTACCCTTGCACTTTTTATTGTTCCAGTGTTGTATTTTCATTTTTTCCCCTTCCTATTTTTTTCCTGCAAGTGTAGGGTCTGCTTTTTTTCAGATCAACTGAGTGATCCATTAATTGATCCATTAATTGTGACAGGAATTAATGGTCAACTTGTCACTCCAGTCTAAAAGAGAATGGCCCAAAGTCACCTAGCCAGCTTTCATGCCTAAGGCAGGACTAGAATTCAGAGTCTCCTGGTTTCTATCCTGGTGCCTTAACCACTAGACCAGGGGTCTGCAACCTTGACAACTTTAAGACTTGTGGACTTCAGCTCCCAGAATTCCTCAGCCAGCTATGCACTAGACCAGGGGTAGTTAACCTTGGCTCTTTTATGACTCGTGGACTTCAAATCCCAGAATTCCTGAGCCAGCCAAGGTTGACTACCCCTGCACTAGACCAAAGTGGTTCTCAATTTTATTTCTATAAATATCTCATTCCAATAGATTTGCATTTTAAATGACATTTTGGGATAAATTGTGTCAACAGAAAAATTTCAGAGTGGAGAAAGGAAAGAAACTGATGAGAAATGTAAATACTAGGGTTCTGAAGTGCTCCAGATGTGATGCAGAAGTGCTTTGGAATAGGCAAGAATATCAGCACAGGAACTTTTTAAAGCAATTGCTATTATTTGCAGGATCTTGCAGCTTCCCTGCAGAAACTATGCAATCCTAGAAAACAAAATTCTACTTTAATGATAGGTGTACATTCAGATTACAGCCTATTTAGTACCACCTCTTCCAAACTAAATCCAGAATTTTCACTGTCTTAATATTATGCCTGAATTTGGTGTCTGAATGCTTTCATTCCCAGGTTCTAAAAAACATTTTCGTAAATAGAAGCCAGTCTTCTTCCAAATTATTGAATTTTAGCATATAAACCATCCCTAATCTGCCTAGCAAGGAAAGTTAGCAAATTTCCAACTTGGAATTTTATGCATGTTTCCGTTTACTTTTAATGGTATTAACAATAAAGTCTACATAATTATTCAGGCTTGAAGGATTAGTACAGGCATATTTCCCCAAGCTGTGAAGAGAAGACTATGAGACCTTTGAACTTTTCAATTAGCACTTGCCAAAGCAAAGAGCAGGTCACATGGCAAAATAGTCTGTGGACTGTAGGTTCTTCCATACAGCAGCATTAAAGTGCCATTATCCCATGTAGGAGTTGGCAGAAAAGTACTATGCTAATTTAGAAAAGTACTCACATACCACAGCCCTCAATCCATTTAAAATGGGAGGGGACAAGAGGGTAGGGTGGGGTGGGGAGCACCTGCTTCACTGCCAGTTACTATTTATAGAGCCATTGCCCAATATTGCCCCATCCCTGCTATTCTCTGGAGTTGCTGGAGAAGTGAGAGAAGAGGAATGAGGTCTTCTGTTATCAGTTCAGAGAGTGATCATTTTGTGTAATGATCTGAAGGGAAACTGAAGGGAAAGGAACCATTTCCCCCCCTCTCTCCTCATCCCTTCTTTTGCTACTCAAGGCAGGAGAAGAGGAGAGAGAGCGATAATGAGCAACTGAGAATACAGTACTTATGAGGAACATAGAAATGGAGAAGAGAGCTCAGACTTCCACTAGGCCAGGGGTAGGCAACCTTCGCTCTTTTACGACTCATGGACTTCAACTCCCAGAATTCCTGAGACAGCCATGCTGAGGGGAAAGGAAGAGGTTTGCAAGCTGAGCCACGCTGGCTCAGGAATTCTGGGAGTTGAAGTCCACGAGTCATAAAAGAGCCAAGGTTGCCTACCACTGCACTAGGCCTAAGAATGAACAGGCCTTTATGAAGAGGTCCAAAGTATAGATCATATAATAGATATCTATTAATTTGGGGGTTATTCTGCTTAGAGCTTAACTAGCTGAAACATAATTTTGTTTATAACTGATTAGTTACTTCAGAGATAAAAACATCAATTAGCATTGTTATATCTATCCTCTACGCTTACTAAAGGAGTTATAAATAAAAATATAATTTTGGAGAAGCAGAATTTTTAGTTTTAGAGAATAAGGAATATTATTTTAATGTCCAAAAGACTGAAGCGGAACCATGTGGACCAATGTCTCCGAGCCCAGTATTTCAAAACCAGGATGAAATCACAGAAAAAAAAAATCCTGGCACTAGGTCAGTCATAGAATACTATCACAAAGTTATATGAGAAATTTTTTGGGAAGCAATTATTGCCTTAATTAAAAACATACTTCTGGAAGGCATTTGATAATGGCCTACCTCATTGTCTGACTCCACAAGTACTTGATCATATTCGCTAAGAGCTACTAGAAACATAATGGAGGTGACATTTTCAAAACAGTGTATCCATTTTCTTCGTTCCGATCGCTGTCCCCCCACATCCACCATTCTGAAATAGGAGCAAAATTCATAGAAATCAAAACAATGTACAAATACTAGAATGTTAGGGACATTTTTTCATTATTATAATATTTATATGCTATGTCTCAAAGATCATGACAATAGAGTGAATACATCTACACTTCAGCATTTTGCAAATGCCACAAGCCTACCATTGTGAGGCATTTATACACTGTAACGTGGAGTAAATATAGATGGGCTTTTTCTCAAACCCATTTAATGTTCTTCCTTCTGGACTGTTGATTTCATAATATTCTTTATCCTCAGAGACTTTGCACTTATGGCTCTAGGAAGGTAGAAATTCTTTTTTCCTTATATGATTCCCTGAACAGGTGCTTTGCTCTTCCAATTTTTTTTCAAATGTAAGGGCCATACAGACTAATAAAGACAATCAACATCTTTACTAACAAAAATGACCCTCTTTTTATTTTGCTTCACAACTACAGTTAATGAAACTCAAAATAAAAAAAAACTTCAAAAAAGGTTCTTCAGAATACTGTATACATTTGTATGGAACAAGAACCATTTGTCAAACTTTGTATTTCAACAAATCTACAAATGAATTTCAACAAATCTACAAAGTAATATAAAATATAGCCGCTACCATTATACACGTTAAACACAACCCCTTTAAAAATGAGTGTAATTATTAAAATTCGAACAGGAAGGTTTTATGCTCAATAAGGGCAAGAGTCCAATATTTTCCAGAGTAACTGTAATAGTAATAATCTTCTATGTATAATGACAGAATAATAAAATAGGGAAATTCTTATAAGGACATTTATATTATTTTTCCAGTTTATGTTCTTACATAAGATGAAGCAGAATTAATAGCTAGGATTTTTATTAGAATTGGTGGACTTGATCTATAAATATATAAAATACCATTTGTCTGCAATTTATAAACTATATTCATACTTTACCACACAAAAAGGGAGTGGGAGAAAAGAATACATTTCCCAAAAACATTTTCTATTGGTACAATTATTTAAATATATATTTTTGCTCCTGTTTATGACTTAACACAATACTTTGTTTTGCATTCTCCATTTTTGATCAATGTAAAATATTGATCTAAACAATGAACATCTCAGGGGTTGAATTGTTTTGCCTGAATTGCTACTACTAAGCCAAAAGAAGAAAGGGAGTGGGAGAAAAGAATGCATTTCCAAAATAGCATTTTCTATTGGTACAATTATTTAAATATATTTTTATGCTCCTGGTAGGAAACTCCTCTCCCCCAAAACAAACTCCTCTAAAGTAGCACTTTAAAGATAAAAAGAACACCTTTTATCTACCTGAAAATAACACTTTGTAAGTCAAATGGGTATTCAATGATTCCTGTAGTTGGAACCCGAACTCTAAGAACATCTTGTTGAGTGGGTAGATATCCAGAGGCTGCTATGCGGTCCAAATCGTTAAGATAACTATAGATAGAAGAGAAAAATCAGGAGTGAAAGATAATGCCCCACTGACAGAAAGAATTATATAAAGATAAAAACAGCAAAAGAGTTTAGATAGGGCACACTTGGAAAAAAACTCTTGAAAACAGAATTTTATAGCAGAATTAAAAAAAAAATCTCTGTATAGATTTTGTAACTTTTACATTGTTACTAGAATTTTTCATGATCTCCAGAATGTTCAAAGTATTAAGGGCAACAATGTAAAAAGCATTAACCTGTCCTGGTTGTACAACTTATGTTCAATGTGAAAGAGATGTGGACTGGTAAGATTCAAAATCAAACGCACAAAAAGTGAATTGGATCAAAGTGCTGAATGCAATATAGAATAGTTGTTTGCTACAGTGAAGTTCTGCCTTAAACAGAAGTTTGTCTGTTCTTTTTCTATAAATCTACATCTAGCAGTGGCATTAACAAATAAGTTTAGTTATTGTTAGAACAGGTTCATTGATATATTATTGCAATTTAATGAATTGCAATTCATTAATGAATTTAATACCACCCAATTATGGTTCTTGAGATGGTTCACCATCAACTGACTCAGTGCAAATATAGTATGACAAATGATCACTTAACTGTACAGGTAGTCCTCAACTTACAACCACAATTGAGCCCAAAATTTATGTTGCTAAGTGAAACATTTGTTAATTGAGTTTTGCCCCATTTTACCACTTTTCTTGTTAAGTGAATCATTATAGTTGTTAAATTAGTAACACTGTTGTTAAGTGAAATCTGGCTTCCCCAGTGACTTTGCTTGTCAGAAGGCCACAAAAGCTGATCACATGATCTGAGACACTGCAACTGTCATAAATATGAATTTTGATCATGTGACCAAGGAGATGCTGCAATGATTGTAAGTGTAAAAAATGGTCATACGTCACTTTTTTCAGTGCCGTTGTAACTTTGAACAGTCACTAAATGAACTGTTGTAAGTTGAGGACTACCTGTAGTTAAGTAATATGATTTTCTCCCCAATTTCCATGTTATTCTATACAGTTATTATTTCATTTTTACTGGCTTTTACGGAACTATGACCTTATATTACCTGCCTCTTGGCAGATCACTTACTTAACAAAACAACAGCATTTAGAATAGCATCTCAACAATTCTATACTGATATTTTTCCATTTAAAAAGGAACCCACTTGGTCCTAGCAGCTTGCCAGATCTTTATAGCCAAGATCAGCTCTCTACTTTTCTATAGTGTCCATATCTGTACTGTACTTAGACAAATCTCGACATTCTTGAAGCCATTTGCTCTTATTAGAGCTATTCTTGCAGCCACATGATGAATTAAGATGTCTGCTCTACATTTAAATATGGGCATGGTCTCTGTAAATGCTAGACTTCAGCATTATCTTTTTAACTTTTGGCTAATGTTAATTTCTTTCCCATGGGTCTGCTCTCTCTGATTGTTAGAGGGACCTTCAAATCAACTTTGTTAAAAAAAAATTGGCAAGCTTTAGTCCCTGAGACTCTTAAGGAAAGATTTATTCTTTCAAAGATTGAAGGATTAAGCTTCCCAAATACCGGATGTATCCTTAAGTAGTGTATTTGGGACAGTGACCTTCAAAGCAAAATGTGGTTCCCAGTTTTGCAACACAAGGGGTCTTTCCAAGTGAGTGACATACAGATGGGAGGTTGAACAACTGGCCCTGTGGTAGAGCTGGAACAATCTGGAGCTGAACACATTGAAAACTGTAGAGATGAAAATGGATTTTAGGAGGAGCCCTCCTATTCTACCACCTCTTACAATATTAGACAACAGAGTATCAAGTGTAGAGACCTTGAGGTTTCTGGGTTCTATAATCTCCCAGGACTTGAAATAACACCTAATGTTAGAACCATCATTAAAAAGACACAACAAAAGATGTTTTTCCTGCGTCAACTCAGAAAGTTTAGACTGCCCCAGGAGCTGTTGATAGAGTTTTCCAGAGGAATTATTGAGTCTGTCATTTGTACTTCTGTAACTGTCTGGTTTGGCATAGTAATCAAATAGGACAGGTAAAGATTTCAATGAATAGTTAGGATTGCAGAAAAAAACTATTGCAATCAGCCTGCCTTCCAACAAGGACCTGCGCGGGTCAGAAAGTGGACTAAGAACATATTTACAGACCCCTCATATCCTGGACATAAACTGTTTCAACTTCTCCCCTCAGACGCCGCTATAAGGCACTGCATGCCAAAACAATTGGACTCCAAGATAGTTTTTTCCCTTTTGCCATCACTCTGCCGAACACCTAATTACCACAGCACTGTCTTAAGTGTAGTATGGCTGTATTATTATTACCTTTCTCATCTTTTCTACTACCTTCTTCTATTAGTATCTTATGATTATATTACTTTGTTATTTGTATGTACACTGAGAGCTTATGAACTGGAGACAAATTCCTTGTGTGTCCAATCAGACTTGTCAATAACTCTTCTTTTCTTCTATGCTGTGCTATCCTATGCTATACTCTGGCTGGTTTTATCCGATTATTGGCCTTAGAGTCATAACAAAGGTTTGACTGACTGAATTGAAGCAATTTTCATTATACTGATTCCATGGATTTTTTTTCAGGATCCTCATGTTCCTCAGGTATCTTAGTACAACACAACGTATATGGGTTTTTGATTGGGAGCTTGGCTACATTAGAATGTTTTATGATATTCTATGTTTTTATTATTTTGTGTAGTGAGCTGCCTAGGGTCACATGGTATAAGGAACATGAAAATGGAGAAGTCATCCAGAAACTTTAAGATGGGCAGTGTAGAAATGTGTACCAAGCCCAAGGAGGTAGAAAAACATTTTTTTAAAAAGTAAGATTGATACTGGCTTCCCCAATTCTATTAGATATGAGTGAGGGAACAGAAATCACAGGGGGACTTGCAAGATTGTGTCTATAGTACTGTAGAAAAGAGCCCTGGTAATGCAGTGATTAGAATGGAGTATTGCAGGCTAATTCTGCTGACTGCCAGGGGTTCAAATCGACTGCCAGAAGGTTGACTCAGCCTTCCAACATTCCGAGGTTGATAAAATGAGGACACAGATTGTTGGGGACAATACAGGTAGTCCTCAATTTACAACAGTTTATTTAGTGACTGTTCCAAGTTACAACGCCACTGAAAAAAGTAACTTATGACCGTTTTTCACATTTATGATTGTTGCAGCATCTCCATGGTCACATGGATCAAAATTCAGGTGCTCGGCAACTGATTCATATTTATGACAGTTGCAGTGTCCTGGGGTCACGTGATCTCCTTTTGTGACCTTCTGATAAGCAAAGTCAATAGGAATGCCAGATTCACTTAATAATTGTGTGACTAACTTAACAACTGCAGTGATTCACTTAACAAGTCTGGCAAGAAAGGTCATAAAATGGGACAAAATTCACTTAACAACCGTCTCACTTAGCAACAGAAATTTTGGGCTCAATTGTGGTCGTAAGTCGAGGACTACCTGTATGCTGACATTGTAAGCCACTCAGAGAGTGCTGTAAACCATTATGAAGTGGTATATAAGTCTAAGTACTATTGCTATTGCTACAGTTCTAGTCTTTCTGTGAAGTCAGTTACTTGATTGGTCTACCTTGTAGTACTAACACAAAGATGAGATGGATTGTTGTAAACATGAAATAAATAAATAAAAAAACAAGTGAAACAAACAAATAATGGAATATATACTGCAGGAAAAGATATATGGGAGCAAGTGTAACTCTTGATATCTTATAGATATCTACTATATTTATGTATTTCTCACATATTAATCATAAACAACATACAAGAAGTAATAAAAATGTGCTAATCACATACAACACTGTTCTCCCCATTCCATCACTTTTGATATAAAATCTTTCTGCCTCATGTACATAGAACAAGAATTGGACAAATTACACTGCAAAAAATTATACAAAACAGCCACGCATGACAAAGTACACAGAGGACAAAGTAACTAAGTTATATGCTGGCAAAATTGGGATATTAAATAAAATGATCACTAAGCATAAATCTAAAATTAAACATCAGTAAATGGATGACCATTTGGACTATTTCAATTAATAGAGGTATTTTCAGAGAAAGCTAGGAGGTGGCTGACTCCCAAGATTTTGCTGTATTATTTGTGTAACTTTTTCAGATACAAATTGTCGTATTTTGTATCAGAAACTGATCTACATAGTGTATCTTGTCCTTTTTCTTTGGTATGTCATATTGGGATAGTGCTCCTTTTTGCTACGAGTGTCTTATACATGACACTAGCTTCACTTTCCTGAGCCTATTTCATTCTGGATTCAGGTGGATCAAGATGGAACAGATCAACAGTATCCAATTATTCACTCGAGATGAGTCAACTAAAAATATGCTTCCGGCTCATCATAACTGCATCAATTGTGTTATTTTTGTAACTGATGCCCAGATTGATCTCCATCCTCAATAAAATTCAGCTGCCAAGCAGGGTGACACATAATACAGTCTTCTCCCTGTTAAATGAAATCACAGGGAGCTATATTTATCCTCAGGAAACTAATGTATATGGGCATAAGTCTAACTGCTAAATTTCAATTCTGATCTAAGTGAGAGAAAGAAAGAAATAACAAAGACGGAGACAGAACACACAGATCTACTGGTAAGTCAATGAATGCATCATCCCAAATTAGCATATCTTTTAAAACAATTTAACTTCAGCATTAAAATATTTATTTATCTAAACTGAAACTGGATTCATGAATATGAATCTTCACTATTAAAGAGCCATATAGCTACATTAAATTGCTGAACATGAAGCTTCTGGATCAAGAACCTATTTTTTCTTTTTTCCTATCTCAATTTTAGATAATCCCTTTTGCAGACACGAATGCTTTCTTGGAATTGGATAGTCTTGCCCAGCTTTTAAAGTATTTCTAGCAAAATGATTACTGCCTTATTTAAGAAGTTCTCAAGCTGTGGGTTACATTCTAGGTAGCTGCAAGCAACTGGCAGATCGTTGTT